ATAATATATGTATATATTTATAATATATTATAAATATTTATATATGTATATAAATAATAGAGAAATTAAATAGAAAAGAAGAATACTTTCTCAAGCAAAGTTTAATTGTTTAAACGAACGTTTTATCCATTTCATGCTATCGTTAATTTCCTTTTGTAACGTTACCATTTTCAATCCCTATGTTCCAGTTTATCTTCGAAGCGTATTATCAGAAATTGAGGAATTTTCGAGAACTCGAGTAGAATATGATAGGGGCTATCATTTTCAAATATACAGAGTGTTCCTAAAGTTATCATTACTAAATACTTTTCTCTTCAAAATCTATGAAATATTATGTTAAACAAATATCTCAAATATTCGATAAATATAAGAAAACATTTTGAATGAAAATAATTCATTGAACTATCTTTCATATTCGAAAGATTGTATTAAAAAAATAAGAAAGTTATTTTAATTAAACGAATAATAATTATTAATAAATATATTTGAAACGAGAGAATGGAATGAAAAATAAAAACAACTCTAGCGTATCATTTTGATCGATCATTTTAATAAACGAACTCCTTCTTCCCTATTTCACATTTCTAAAAAAAAGGGTGGCTATATCAGTAGATATTATGGCATACGAACAACCCTACCTACCTGCGGAAGTGGATAGACGATAAATATGGCTCTTGCATGTAAACGAACAAAAAAGAAAAAAAAAAGAAAAGCAAAGAGGAAAGAATAAAGGGAGAATAATCGGTTCCAGGATAAAATAATCATCATTCTAATCGATCGATAATAAAAATAATCGGAAGCGCTAAAAATCGGGTTGCGGGGATGGTGTAACGTTAAACAAAAAATTAAAAAGTACAAAACCAATATGTATATATAAAATAAAACACAAACTATATATATATTGCATTTTAAAAGAACAAAAATTTATGAATCGAATAAAAGAAGCTTACACACATGGTGGTTATTTTCAATTAAAAAAAAAACAAATAAAATGTTTTATTCTCTCTCTCTTATTATCATATTTCTTGGAATATGTTTAAATTAAGAATAAAAATTCAATTAAAGAATTTCCATTGAATTTAAATGAAATGTGTTATTCGGGGGGGAGTGAAAAAAAAGAAAAATGAAGTAAGGTGTATAAATCGGTGTGTCGTGAATTGTTTGTATGAAATGGTAGGATCATTAAAATCCTTCGTTAGGATGGGTTGGATAGGAATCGCCATTGGTGGAGGGTGGAGGGTGTTTTAACTCAAGTGCTAAATGATACTGGATTACATGGATCGTTAAAAGGGATAACTAAACGCATTGTTTCGGTTAATGACTCCGCGTTTCTTGGCTACGTTCATCGAGTGTAAACATTTTGAGAAAGTGTATCCTTAGGAACAATAAGCAGCACCGTTTGTTCGTTACATTACCATTCCTTTTATTATCTCATCTTCTGAGACATATTAAACTCTTCATTTTAACACGCGTATATAAAGTAGATATTAAACGTTGCTGGTACTTACAAAATTTGTTAACAAAAATATAGATTTTCTCTTGATAGTTTAATTTTAAGATTGTTGATAATTATTGGTAGACGAGGGTATGAGTTTAGAATAAACCAAAAATGTGAGATAAATATAAGTGAAATAATGATAAGACATTGTAAAAAACTTTGTAAGTTGTGTAATAAAAACCTGATTATA